TTGTGTGTTCATTAGATTGTAAGTTGAGATCAACCGCATGGAGACTGTTGTATTCATTGCATATCTTAGTTATCGCTTACAAGTAATATGTTGTATACACCATATGCCATTTGCTATGCTGCTAGATGATTTGTAAATGAAATTGCCTCGCTTCCTACTAGCATTTGCATATTAATTGATATGATTTTCATATTCAATAAAAGTTTGCATTGTTATATGTCAACTTGCATTGACTGTGGGAGGATCACACTCCAACTTACACTTTTTTGTGAATTGCTTGGAATTGTGTTTGACATAAGTTTCCCATTCGCTTATTGATATTCATCATAAGGCCTTCATTATTAGAGTCTTTGAGTCACTTATTTTCATTTGTATATTGATTAGTTAAGTGTCACGAGTCTTCTTGGTTTCATTGTTCATTGTACATGTGCACTTGGAGGAATTATTACGTCCTCTGACCTAACGTAGAGCTACTTTTGACCGCCAATAACATCTCGCTACGTGCTCTTACTCTTTACCACGCTGCCCGACGACTTGACCCGTAGCGGAACCTGGGAATGCTATGTTCATGATTTTCTCGATATTGATTGGTATTTGCTCGGTATTGCTTTGCAAAAATGAGAAATACCGCTCTGTGAAGACCAAAACCATGCAAATACCGAGTTGTACCGAGTTTTTTACAACTCGGTACAACTTGGTATTTTCTCAGGATTTGCTCGGTATTGCTAGAGATTTGCTCGGTATTGCTAGGTATTTTCTCGATATTGCTAGAAAAAACTAAGTACAACTCGGTACAACTCAGTATTTGCTCAGGATTTGCTCGGTATTGCTAGGGATTTGCTCGATATTGCTAGGTATTTGCTCGGTATTGCTAGAAAAAACTCAGTACAACTCGGTACAACTCGGTACAACTCAGTATTTGCTCAGGATTTGCTCGGTATTGCTAGGGATTTGCTCAGTATTGCTAGGTATTTGCTCGGTATTGCTAGAAAAAACTAGGTACAACTTGGTATTTGCTCGGTATTGCTAGGTATTTGAAATATATCCAAAAGGTGATGGGATGTTGTTCGGCTCGTCAAGGATTTTAAAAAACGCACGTGAGAGAACCCAAAAAACAGCGGGTCGGGTCGGCGACTTTTCTTCATGCTACGTGGCGCTAATACATTGGTGGCCGAACGTAGATTAACGTACGTTCACCGGACCTAATAAAAGTTTGTGCACTTGAGAGCTTGATCACAAGTCTCCCTTTACTTTGTATATTTAATTTTTATTCTTTTTCCAATTACAAATTTTTTATTTTAAATATTAAGTTCAATTCTCTATGCTTATTTAAGTTTTGTTCTTTGTTCTCAATTCAAAATCAAGTCTAAGTACAGTCTCATGTTGTCCTTTTATTCAAGTTCAGGTCCTCTGTATTTGTTCTGAATTTTGGCAGGCTCCCGACGTCTCTCCTATTTAGGAAAAATTCTAAGAGTCTAGGTCTCCCGTCACACTAAAGAAAAACGTGTACAATAGATGTCAGGCAACACCGTGGCCGTAAATTTTCAATCCTACCATGTTACGAGAGCATGTACGAGTCTTCAAAGTACTTGCTCGAAATACGCAATTCTTTCCCCCGCCACGCTACGCGAGTGCTTAAATGTACTTAGAAGAGTCCTCGCCACGCTACAAGAGTGTGTACAGAGCCTACCAGCCTTGCCAAAAGAGCCGTACTGGGTTCCCTTCCCACCACGCAAGAGAAAAGCATGTATAGGCAATTTTCCGATGCAACGCGATTGCCCTATCAGTGTCAACGACGATGAAGATGCACTAAAACTTTTTTTCTTTTTCCTTTTCTCTTTTTTATACCATTTCATTTTTTTGTTGAATTTTATTTCTTCTCTTTTTTTAATATATTTTTCTCACTTTTCTCTCTCTCTCTCTCTCTCTATTACATGCCAATTGTGGAACTACTGCACAGTCTGTCGACTCTTTCCTCTTTTAATTTTGTAAGCACTTGCTTATACTGTAATAGAAGGAAGAAATCAATATTCTCTTTTTTGAAATATTTTCCCTCATTTTTTAATCAAAATTAAAAAAAATGTATTATCTTTCACTAATATAATTAATAATTAGAATTATTTATAGGGATAAAATTAATTATTTTATTTTTTATCAGAAAAAAATATAATTTAAATTTTGATAATATAAATTTTTATTCACATTCACATGGAATAAAACCAATTATCCCAAATCTCGACTGCAATTTGTTCTTTAGAAAATTATTTGAAATATTTTAAGTTACAATATTGCATCAGATTTCCATCTATGTGACAAACTCCATTTTTGTGAATTGTACTAAGTGCCATAAAAATTTCTAATTGCAATTAGCATTTTCTCACATAAATAGGCACTTCGTTTTAAGTGTCATTTCCCTTCATAAGATTGTGTTGGGAAACTAACCCACATAGAGTCTACAAACAAGGAAGAAAAAATGCAGTGAAAAAAAAAGTATCATTATTCAATGTGAAAAATTTTGAAATCTGAAAAAGACCCTAGAATTACACAACACCAAGAAATTCACTATGAAAATTGGGAGAATTTATATACATCTCTTTCTTTCTCGCTCTCACCTTTTCTCTCTTTATTTCTTGCAATATTCTCTACACATAATAGATAAAGATACAAACATAAAATTAACCAAGGGGCACAACACTTGCAACATTGCGGCACCAGGCTTGGAGTGCGTCGACACTCCACTTTATGTCTCTAGTCTGATTGTCAGCATAATAGCGTGAAAATCTAGAGTGTTGTGACGTTCTTCTATGTCTATCTCCAACTCGACTATGTAGCGTCGCAATGCTGTACAAAAAAAAAAGGTACAAAACACCATAACCCAAGCACATGGAGGACCCATACAACCCCTCAACGAGCTCATCCAACATAATTTAGGTCTCATACAATAATACAACTTGATTGATCGACACATTAAGATTCTACACAGAGCTAAAAATTTGTTTTATTTGTGAGTTAGATTTTTCTATTTTGTAAAATAAATTACCAATTTTGTAAAAAAATCTAATTATTCGATATAAAATTCGCTAATTAACTGATAATTATCTGGTGCCCTAAACTAAATTCTCACTAATAATACTATCAAAATTTTTTTGTTCTTTTTATTATTCCTTAAAGAACAAGTTATATAGTGGGAAAGCTGCAAGCATATTCTAACTTTTCAACACTCATCATTAGTTGTTATGTTTATACTTGATCAAACATAGGGCCAAATCCAACGGCCGACACCTTTCAACAAATTTGGATTGATAGGAATCCAAATAATTTATAAATTAAACTTAGGAAAAATCAACAAGTTGATAAAATAAGAACAAGCCCAAGCAATAGATATTTTTTTCCTTCTTTATAGGCCAAAACCCTTATTTTATCATTTCTTCCATCACCTAATATTCCCTTAAAACAATAAATTATATTCTAAACTATTTTTCTAAAACCCCCATTATGCAAAATAATCCACCGCCTATAAATCCCCACCTCCACTTGGCTTACTCCAAATTATCCTAAGCAGAGCTTCAAAGTTCTATTCTCATGGCAACTTCTTCTCTACTCTCCTCTTATATTATTCTCAATCTTTTCTTCTTTTTGCTTCTAATAGAGATGAATTTTCTAGTATCAGTGCGAGAGGTTGTCGGAGAACGCCATGTCATCGATGTCAAGTCACTGTTGCCGAGCAACTCCTGCTCCATGCCTGAAAAAAGTTTGCGAGCAATTTAAATAATTTCTTAATACCCTATTGGACACTATTTTTTTCATAAATTAATTAGAATAATAATAGAATGTTGATTAGCAGTTTAGGATCAAATCAAAATTTATAGCTATTTTCCTATTTTGATTTTTTTATAGTCATGGCTAGTTTATTATTCAATTATATGTCTTTTGCATGTAGCCATATACTGTAGTTTAGATACATTTTGATCAAATGAAAAAAGTCTTGTAGATGAGTTTATTTTTAGTAGTTGGATGTTTTAGTAGCTATGTAGCATGTAGTTTATTTAAAATAAATATTGTAAGTGAATCTAAAACATTCTAGAACTAGATCATGCGATTTGCCTGTTAGCGTAATAGCGTGAAAATCTAGAGTGTTGTGGCATTTTTCTCTGCCTATCTCCAACTCGACTATATAGCGTCACAATGTTGTACGAAAAAAAAAGGTACAAAACACCATAACCCAAGCACATGGAGGACCCATACAACCCCTCAACGAGCTCATCCAACATAATTTAGGTCTCATACAGTAATACAACTTGATTGATCGACACATTTAGATTCTACACAGAGCTAAAAATTTGTTTTATTTGTGAGTTAGCTTTTTCTATTTTGTAAAATAAATTACCCATTTTGTAAAACAATCTAATTATTTGATATAAAATCCGCTAATTAACTAATAATTATCTAGTGCCCTAAACTAAATTCTCACTCAGAATACTATCAAAACATTGTTTGTTTTTTTTATTATTCCTTAAAGAATAAGTTATATAGTGGGAAAGCTGCAAGCATATTCTAACTTTTCAACACTCATCATTAGCAGTTATGTTTATACTTGAACAAACATAGGGCCAAATCTGACGGACGGCACCTTTCAACAAATTTGGATTGATAGGAATCCAAATAATTTATAAATTAAACTTAGTAAAAAATCAACAAGTTGATAAAATAAGAACAAGCCCAAGCAATAGATATTTGTTTCCTTCTTTATAGGCCAAAACCCTTATTTTATCATTTGTTCCACCACCTAATCTTCCCTTAAAAAATTAAATTATATTCTAAACTATATTTCTAAAAACCCCATTATGCACAATAATCCACTGCCTATAAATCCCTACCTCCACTTGGCTTACTCCAAATTATCCTAAGTAGAGCTTCAAAGTTTTATTCTCATGGCAACTTCTTCTCTACTCTCGTGTTATATTATTCTCAATCTCTTCTTCTTTTTGCTTCTAATAGAGATGAATTTTCCAGTACCAGTGCGAGAGGTTGCCGGAGAACACCATGTCATCGACGTCAAGTCACTGTTGCCGAGCAACTCCTACTCCATGCCTGAGAAAAGTTTGCAAGCAATTTAAATAATTTCCTAATACCCTCTTGGAGACTATTTTTTCATAAATTAATTAGAATAATAAAAGAATGTTGATTAGCAGTTTAGGATCAAATCAAAATTTATAGGCATTTTCCTATTTTGATTTTTTATAGTCATGGCTAGTTTATTATTCAGTTATATAGCTTTTGCATCTAGCCATATACTGTAGTGTAGATACATTTTGATAAAATGAAAAAAAAGTCTTGTAGATGAGTTTATTTTTAGTAGTTGAATGTTTTAGTAGCTCTGTAGTATGTAGTTTATTTAAAATGAATATTATAAGTGAATCTAAAACATTCTAGAACTAGATCATGCGATTTGCTTGTCACAGCTCATCACGATGGGACCTGTCCTGATCGGGTTGAATTGTGACAAGCTTTTGTGGTATCACAAGATTTTTTTTATTTTTTTTTTATTTTTTTGGGGTGAAATGTTAGCATTGTAATGCTCAAAATACAAGCATGAGTATATAAGGCATGTTCTTTGAATTTGTTAACAAGATCTTACACTTCATATCTAGAATTTGTATTGTCAATATGTCACTGCACAACATTCACTAGGTAACATAGATATCGTAAGCTTAAACGTGATGCTAAAGCAAAAAAAAAAAAAAAACCTCATTACATACATTAATTAGTTGTTACAATTGTGACAGGCACAACCCCTTCCAGGTTCAACGTGGTCCACTGGCACGGCCTGTGCTCTTCCCGGGCGCACAAGGACAAGCCGTCCCATATGGAGCTTCTCCGACGGGACCAAGAACGCGTCAATTACATCCAACGCCGGGTCGCCAACGCCAATGTACGCCTCAACCCTGTTGGTGGTTCTCTTTTTTCAAGAGTTCCGGTAAGCATCATTCTTAGTGAATCCAGCAGCTACATCGTCAATATAGGCCTAGGCACCCCTACCAAGTCCTTGTCACTTATGCTCGACACCGGTACCGATCTCACTTGGACCCAATGTGTCCCTTGTGTTAACTGCTACCCCCAAACAAACCCATTTTATGACTCTACCCTTTCCTCCACCTTCAACGACATCTTATGCAACTCCGACTATTGTACCGAACTCAAAAAATTTCGTTGCTCCTCTAAATCCACATGTCTCTACTTGGAAGAATATCTCGACCATTCTAGTACTAATGGCTCCCTAATTCAAGACACATTGACATTCTCCTCTGATACTATACATAACTTCCGCTTCGGTTGTGGACATAACAACACCGGAGATTTCAGAAAAGAAGATGGGTTATTAGGCCTCGGTCGGGGAGCTGCTTCAATTATTTCCCAAACAGCTCAATTTTATAACAAGGTATTCTCATATTGTCTACCATCAGGGTCCAATGAAATTGGATATCTCGAACTAGGTAGGTCTGTCCCTGGTGTGAAGTATACACCGATGCTAACCAACCCAAATTTTCCATCCTTGTACTTCCTCAAGCTCATTGCCATTTCTATTGCGGGTACAAGGCTCGCCTTTTCACCTATTGAAACGGTATTGGACTCTGGTTCATCGATTAGCTACCTGCCACCCACTGTCTACTCCTCCCTTCGCAGCATTTTCCAAGAAGAAATGATTAATTACCCGATGGCGCCGCCACTAGACAATCTCGACACATGTTATGACCTCACTGGCCACTCTGATGTGGGCGTGCCGGAGATTGTGTTGATCTATGATGGCGAAGTGACGGTTTCCTTAGATGGCTCGGGGATACTTTATATGACTAGTTCATCTCAAGCGTGCTTAACCTTCGCTAAAACAAATGATGAGGTTATTGTTGCGGTTATTGGTAATATGCATCAACGTAGGTTCAATGTAGTCTATGATGTGGGGAACTCAAGAATTGGCTTTCGGAGTAATGGTTGTAACTAGTGATGGATTGATCAAGTTGATTGGGTTAAATGTAATGTATTGATGTAGCTATAATGAATAGGTTTCATCATGTTGGTTATAAAATCGGGGCATGTGGGACAATAAATGTAGTCATGAAAAAAAGAAGTTCAATTGTATCCAAAATTTATGAAATAATTAAATATCAAATGAAGAAAACATTATATGAGTTTATGAAAGCCATTAAGATGTGCTTAATTTATTTATAATTAAGGGGAAATGATGACTAATTGTTGGAGGTTGGAATTTTGATTATTAGAGATAAAATGTCATCTTTCTTTGCAGAAGAGGTTTTACTTAAAAAGAATGAAGACTACTTGTTGAGATGATTTTTGTTCAGTATCAGACTTTTACAAAGTAAAATCATCAATATTTTTTTCTTCAACTTAACCCTTTTGGTTCTCATTTTGGCTTCAATTTTCATTTTTGTTCTGGTCTGTAAATGGAAGCATTTAAGGCTTGTGAGTTTTGCCAACCCATTAGGCTATACAACTTAACACCTTAAAGCTTTGATGCAACTAATCCCATATTCCTTAAATATGGGGACATTTAGTCTAATTTAGGCAAACTCACATACATATCACTTACGCAACCTTAGAACACAAGACCTCTGGTTGATAGCCAAAACCCCCAACCAACAGATAATTGAGAGTTGCGTAATGATCAATTATGTGATTTACATTTTTGTAATTTTAAAGAATTTTTTTCCAAATATTATGCTCCCACACGAAAAAAATTCTGACTCTGCCACTATCTGCATGCATCATGTATATGTAGGTTCATCCATAATTATTATACAATTCTCAAATCTATGTTCACCCAAAATAAAAAAAAGTTCTAATCTCCAGCTCAAGCTTCTGTGAGTGGGGCCAAAGCCATCGCCATTGGAGCCCTTTCCAAAGTGTCTTAAATGAAATTTTGTACTTCATATGATCAGTGATAAAATTTGATATGTTCCAAACACATTAAGCTTTTATAGTAAAATAAGAGGGTGAATTAAGGGGGAATGAGCGGACTAATGCTCTCACTTGAAATAATTTTTAAGTTTTTATATTTCATTTAATTTCAGTTATATAAATAGAATTTTTATAAAAAAATAATCTAAATAAAAATTCTATTTTATGAACCCTCTAAAATTTTAGAATTTAAAATTATAAATAGCTATTGAAGGAATATTGATAAAATTTTTAAAATAATTAATTTGTGTGTCTGATTAAAAAAGAATACGACTCTGCCATTATCAAAGAGAAACTCTATATCACCAACAAGCTCTTACGATATTGATTCGGAGCAGAGTTATGATACCATGGCACTGATTTCATTCTTTGATGGACATCTGCTCATCGAAGACTACTAGGAATAGGAACGTGACGTTGAGACCTTCCTTGAGTACATGGAGGTCAAACTGGACAAATAAATGAAGTATGTTGCTTGTTAGGGGTGTCAAAACTAGGTCATGGGTCGAACCAGAGTTGACCCTGACCCGGGTCTAAACGGGTCAACCCGAACTTGACCCATTTTTATAAACATGTCACTTTTCAGAACATAAACCCGACCCGAGCTGGGTTCGGGTCGACCCGGATTGACCTACTGACCCGTTTTCACAGATGCGACAATTAACAGGAATCTAACTCAGGCAGCAAATTCAAAAATGAAACCACGACTTCTAGGTTAATAACTTGCAACGAAGACAACAAACCAGGGAAACAAAGATATCAACCAAGGCAAACCAACCTAGGCAACCAAGACATCAAGTCAGCAATACAGGCAAATCATTAAAAATCAATAAACTTTATGTTTTTACAAACTTATAAATTATAAAAAATTACAAATTGTCAAATTATACATCATAATTCATAAATATTAAATTAACAAATAAATTACAAATCCCATATAACAAGTTACAAACATATAATTTCACAAATTACAAATAATAAAGTAGTAAATTATAATTTACAAATATAAGTTTGACTATTTAAAGAACTCAAAACTCTGGAGACTTGAAGTCATTTTCTCTCATGGAGATTTACGCTAATTGCAAAAAATATATATAGTTAAATTGATATAATTATAAATCCATGAGAAAGTTGAAAGCTTGAATCATTAGCTCAAATTAGCCATCCAAATAATTCATCAAATAATTTAATGTGAGTCAACAATACAATTTTTTTACTATTGTGGTATTGTCATCCAAGGCGGCATTTTGTAATTTAGGGTTATACTTAGTTTCTGTTAGACTAGAAGATAACACAAATGACACCTAGTTGCAATAATTGTTTTCCCAAATGACTTGACAATCAATTTAGAAGGGTGCTCATCATTACAGCTCAACTTTCAATGCTTTCAAAAACAACCCAGCATTTGAACAAATGTAGTAAGTAACAAGAAACTTACCCAAGCAGCAAATGATTCCAAAATGAAACTACGACATCCAGGTGAATAACATGCAACTAAGACAACAACCCCGGGAATCCAAGATAGCAACTTATGGAAACCAACCCAGGAAACCAAGGTAGCAATCCAGGCAAACCAACCTAAGAAACTAAGAAAATAACCCATGAAAACCAAGACAACACTATAGGAATCTCAATAGCTACAAACCAAGGTAGAAAAAAAGCAATCAACTCAATAGTGAACAAACCCATAAAAGTCTGCTAAATAACATAAACCAAACCTAAAACAACAACCTAACTAACATGGAACAAACCTAGCAAAGTAGCAAAAACTGAGACTACTAACAGCATAACATCAAATAAAATCAAATAATAGGTAACCAACCCACACAAAATTTCTCAAACCTACTATAGCCAGCCAAGAAAATCTGAAAACATCATAATTCTCGTAACTTGTAGTTTTTGAAACTTAGAAGGAAATATAAGTAGGCATGAAATAAATAATAGGCATTTGGCATGACAGTTTATCCAACAACCGAGTTTTCACCAAGCTCTTTATCACTTTTGTTCACATCCAAATTGATGATATCATCAGTTACTGCATCAAGTTTGGGGTCATTTTTTGCTATAACAAAATAAGATAAATAAATTTAACATCTTAAAAATGATAGAAATATAAATGTGCTTGAAGAAGAACAAAAAATCAGCCTGTTCTCCATATAACCAATCATTTGCACAAATTAGTGTCTCGATAATATCATGTTTCAATACACTTTGGTATTGGTCTAGAATTCTATCACAAATTTGCGTTCACACGATTCTGCATGCGTGGCTGACATGGCCACTTGTTGCGTTGACTGGCCAACCATAGGAGGTTGGCTTGATCGTCGGCGGTTAGGTAAATTTTTTTAGTAATAAATAATAAATATATATATATATATATATATATTTCATAACCTCCCCAACTTCTTCCTCCAACTATAAATACCCCTCTTAGAGCCTTTCAAAGCACACCTTCTCCTCTCCCTCCTTTCTTTCATTAAAGGCCTTCCCTTGGCCATGCATGGGTAGTATCGCTTGTCCAGGCCCAGGGCCCCTCTCTGCAAGAAGGAGACTCCCTCCCCCATCCTTCTTCCCTTATGCCCTCTTCCTATACGGGAGGCATTCCCCAGCTTTCGGATAGGTGGCATCCCTTATCTAACGATAGGGCCCCTCCCTATATAGAGGTAATGTCGTGCGACCACCTTCCCTTGAGTGATCTCATGACAAGGAGAGACCTTATTGCCCTGAATAATGGCGAGCGGAGGGCAAACAAGGCAGCAAGGGTGGATGATGCATCGTCCACCATTACTGGTGATTCTTTGATCATTCTACATAAGAAGTTTCACTTCTCGAACGATGTGGTGACGGCGGTCTCTAAGAAATCTGATCGAGCTGACTTTCCTCCTCCTGGTGTATTATTTTCTGCGAGACCAGTTTGCGAGCAAAGTTGTGCTTCCCACCTCCTGCTGAGCTGGTCGATATTTCAACAAGATGTGAGGTGAGTCTATCCCAATTTTTGTATAGATCCATGTCGGTGATAGTGGGGTTGATTGCTCTCTTCAGATATCGGGAAGCCTTTTTGACACATGAACACCTTTCACGAATGGGTCAACTCATTAGTGACATATCAGGAAGGCACATGGCATTCAAGTCCAAATGATTGGACATGTGCTCCTGTGATCCTGCGAAGAGATGGGCCAGTACCTTCTTTTTTGTGAAGAACGACTGAGTCCTATTAAAGAAGTAGGGGAAGATAAGAGATATACCAGCCCTTCTGCACGTCGAAGAGGAAGACATAATGAGGCTCCTGAAGGTTCCCGACTGTTGATGGAAATTTTGAAAAGTGGATTTTTTAAAGATTTAATCTTATTTGGGAAATCTAATATTAAATCTATAGTATAAAAATTAAACGTCTCGTTATAAATAATATATTACCTCTTAAGGAAAAGACTTCGTTTGCTAACAGGTTCAGATGATGAAACTGAAAGTTACCATCCTGGTTGTAGTAATACAATTCAAATAAGAATTTGCATACTATCCCGAAGGGTCGAAATAAAATTCTATTAATATTCAACCACTATAATCCAGATGGGAGATCACTAATTTCATATTCCACATCACAATAGTGGATGATATATCCCTCCAAGGAGACAAAATATCACCCATTATCGATCGATGAAATTTGACGAAAGTGATCGTTGTTGACTTTATTTTCCCAAAGGAGATTAATTTTAGTTCTAAAAATTGATTTTAAAAAAGGGGAATATTTATATTAAATCTCCTATGACCACAACCCCTCGTAGTTAATTACATCGTGGGGAATCAGAATTTCCCACGAATACTCTTGATTAAAATAATGACAAAATTTTGTTTAAACACTTCAGGAGTGATACCAAAGGAATTGGATTTTTTTGGAATTTTAATTGGAAATGGAGCTAGATTGAGCACCTATTTTGGAATCAAAGGAAGAGGGGTTGGAGGCACTTTTGGATTCTTAAACACTTCAGAAGCGCCCCAACCTAAGCTAAGTGTTTGGATTAAAAGGAG